CAAATAAATAAATAAATAAATAAGTAAATAAGTAAATAAATAAATAAATAAATAAATAAATGAGGGTGCTCTATCACTGAAGGTTTTTTTTAACATGGGCAAGGTAGGAGAATTCCTACTCTGGGCAGGGATTGGACTAGAAGATCTCTAACTTCCCTTCCAATCCTACAATTCTATGTAATACTTGTAATGTGACAGGTCTATCGGATATGAATGTGAGTGTACCTTTGTACGCAGATGATGTGTTGTTGGCTGAGAACTTAAATGATTTGCATCAAAGGTTTATATGATAAAACAAGAAGCATGGACCTGAAAATTAATGCATCAAAGATCAAGGTAATCGTGTGTGTGTGTGTGTACATACACATACATACATACACACATACACACACACACACACACTCATGGATAAGCCGAGAATTTTAGGTGTCAAAATGCACCTAAAAAACCAGGTTCGGCTTATCTGCAGATGGGCTTTATCCATGAGTATATACAGTAATACTTTTTTAAAGTACCCATATTTCCCATATATACTCACATCATTCATCTCTCTCTCCATCCATCCATCCATCCGATCCACAAATAAGCTGACCTTCAAATTTTTAACCAAAATACCATGAAAAATGTGGGTTGGCTCATCCGTGGGTGGTGCATTTTTCATGGTGTTTTGGTTAAAAATGGGCTTATTCACTAGTATATATGGTGTGTGTGTGTATGAATATGATTACTTTGATGAAATATAAAAATTGACCAGCTGTGACCTGTACTATTAATTTATTAACTTAGTATGCACAGCCAGTCTGGCAGGCCTAGGTGATGCCTCCTCCTGAAAAGCAACAGTAGTCCTGCTTATTGGAAAGTGCTATTCCAAGGTCTAGGTATGTCTTTGGGTTTCTGGAGAAGAGCACACTGAGATGGGCCATTATTCACAAATGCACATCACAAATATAAGCTGGGATACTTATGGCCTACCTAGTAGTTATGGGATGCCTAAGGGCTACCTATTAGTTGTGCGAGGTAATTCAAAATTAGTCATTGAAAGTCATCAAAACACAATTACATAACATTTCCCATAGCCAGCAGACATGTGCTATCACATCAAGTCCTAGCTTTCTCCTGTTTCAGTCACACGGTTTTAGGCAACATTGAGGGAGACAGTTGAAGATGTTTAGCTCTGTTGAAGAAGCCACATTTCCATCTGTAAGAGCCCATTGACATCTACTTCCTTCTTGGGACACAGTCTGGAATGATGGTACCATAGTAACAACACTGGAACACATTATTTTTATTTTTTATTCAAAAATGAATTTTTGCAAGCCAAACTGCTCAATAGTGGTGCACAGAGCAGTAGATCTTAAATAATCTTAACACTCTTTACAGAACAGTTTGCAAAAGAAATGGGTAAACACTGAAACAGTCAAATACAGTGAGACAGGTACTACAGTACTATTTTCTTTCTTAGAGCAGACTGAAGTTAGCCAACAACACAGTTGTCTTCAGAAGAAATATGTGGTCTAGTGACAAGTGCAAAATTGTATACAATATTCATCTGCAAACTGAATCACTGTCCTGGCATGCTGGTATGATGATTTCCATGTTTGAGTGCAGTTATAACTTCTGGCTTGAAATGGCCTCTAAACATTTAATCACTAGACTAGCAGGGCAACAGTTCTATAATGGGTCATTGTTAAATCCAAGGCCCAGGACAAACTTTGGAAGAGGAGAAATCAGATGAGGTTTGAATGAACTGATCCCAAATATAACTAATAGCCATTCATTTTTGTAGGGTATTTTCATTTTTTGTCACACGGAATCATAAATTGGGGTTGTGTCTCAGTAAAAGTCCATGATTACATTGCATTAATGTAGAATATGAGATCTTATGAACAAGTTAATATTTTCTGCATCTCGAACTTCTTAAATTCTTTTCTTGAAAAGGTGCAATTTTGAAATTATATTCTAGGTTTCTAGTAGACAGACATTCCTCTCTGTTGCACAATTTGTCAAATCTGAGCTGCAGTTAATTTTTTTTAATCTACTGAGGACTGTAGCAGGCAGGAACTTGGTATCATAGCATTATTAGAGGGGGCAGGATTCCTGCTCATTATTTTATTCACATTTTATGTTCTTCTGTATTTTTAAAAGCCTGTAAACAGTAAACCTCTTAGATCTTTATACACCTGTTTCCTTTAACTTCCCAGTGAAAATTGTGGGAGACTGTGTCATCATCAACTTGCTATCAAATTTCAATAGCAAGTAAGCAGAGGGGAGTTGTGGGGCTACAAAAAGGAAGTTCAAAAACTTTCTGGAATATTCACTCCTACTATTTTCTTATTCCCCTCTGTCAGTGTTGCTATAGCTAAATCCTGAACCTGGCCCAAGATTAGGCTAACAGAAAATCTTTCAGATGTCTTCTTGTCAAGACATATGAGCCTCTGTTGGCAACTGCAAGAGTGACAGCAAGAGGAAATCTCTGCATCTATGAGAAAAATCCAATTATGCATGCTTGCAAACATTACTAAAACTTGTGGGTGCAAGCTTTTGAATACAAGTATTTTAAAAATAAAAAGGCAGAGGGAAGGTTTGCATTTTTAAATGAAGTGTCCCTTTTTTACTTTCATGTCCTTTCCCAAACCATTTGCTGAGACACAGCATGAGGAGTACTAAGAATCACCCAGATATACACACACAAAACTTGGGCAGGTGGGGGGGAACTAGCCATAGTGGTACAAATTAGAAATGAACAGCAATTACTTGCTATTGAAATTAGAAATCAAGCACAGCACGTGGCTGCACAGCCTCTAGTTCACTCCCACGGGCAGAAGTCGAGGAAGATGGGAAGAGTGTATAACATGATAACATAAAATCAGAAGCCCTGAGATGGAAGGACCAATTGTCAAAATTTAAAAGTGCCAAGCATTTTTACCACAATAAGTCTTCTTTTCTATCAAATGTCTTTGAATTGGCTCAGGAAAGCAACTCCTCCAGGAAGAATCAGTGACATGTTACATCAATATACAAAGAATGAAATTCTATGTATCAACCTGCCTAGGTAACACTGATGAATCTGGGAAGAGCTATTGATATTAAAACTCCCTGTTGAGAGACTTTTAACTGCAAGAAGTTCCTGGCAACCCCTCCCAAATTATGGATAATTTCCCTATGAGTCTTCCTTCTAGTCACAAAAACTAGATAGGTCTGTCTGTCATATATTTAGTACAGCATGTACAAATCAGGTTTGCATTTAAAATAAGGCTTTTTCCTAATAAAGTATTTTAGCAATAAGCTTTAGCATTCTATTATAATGCCTCTATTAACTGAAATGCGCCTTAACATAGGAGCCTAGCCTTATTCCCCATAGAAAGGGTTGTGCACATTACAAGATGCAGCTGGGGCTATATGTGCAAGCAAGACTGTCACTGGCTAGAGCTTGCCTATGGTTCCCAAGTACATCTGAATTAAGTCCACCCATCCCCTGCTGCAAGGGCATTAGAAGACCTCATTCTCTTCTAATGAGGAGATAACACTATTGCTAATGCCAGGGATTCTGCAGAGGACCTTATATGCTCAGGTCTGGTACATAAAGGCATAGAAAACTGACTATGATTCGTAAACGTAACACTCTATAGCAGGAAAAGCACTGTTTTTCTTCCAGGGTTTGTAGCATGAGGGGCTCCAGTGATGCTATAACAACAGCAACAAACACATCACCAATCAGTGCTTGGAGGCTCTGAGTTCAGAGTTACAATTATCAGCTGACACTCAGTTTCTGTCACACTGAACTCTGCTTTTAATTTCAGCACTCATTCTCTAGAGTTTTAGTTGCCAGAGAAAAATAAAAAGAAGAGACAGAAGCAAATTCATATGTAGTTAAAATAAAACCTTTGTGCAACTCATAGAAAGGAAATGAAAGAGGATTCAGAAGGATTCCATCTCTGGAAAACATTCTGGCAAAGTGACACAGTTTTTTCTATGTGCATTTTCTGGACTAAAGCACAGTTTGGTAAAGATACCCCCGCCGATAGGCACTCAGTGGATAAAATGTAGCCACAACGAATTTGCCATTGAATCTCTTCCCAGTCAATGCTCTTTGGGCTGCTTTGGAATCACCAGCATTGGCATACTCAACAAAAACCTGGAAAGAAACAAGGACACTATTAATTTTTTCATAAGTTTATAGACCGAGCTCTGGCAATAGACCAGAGAAAGCTGAGAGCAAGAGAAATAGGAAAGGAATATTGGAGACACAATAAATGATGTGGCGCCAATCTCTCTATTTTCTGGTCTCACCACTTCTCCTTTTGGAACAATTAGCCATCTTGGTCTTCAGCAGCAATTTCACCAACACAAGGCTAAAGCAATCATTGTCCTTTTTTTCTAGTAAGATGGCATATAAAGGATGGATGATTGCAAGTCATAGATGCCATCTTGATGTTCCTGATGTCTCTTAAGATACTTTCTGCTGCTAAATTGTGTTTAGCTACACACATTATCAAATATGGTAAATATGGTAAGATTCTAATACAAATTCATGCTACTTTAACCTATTAAGATGAAATAATTTGTTATTGGTAATTTTTTAAAAAGAGGATTCATGCCCCCAGTTATGGGAGAACTATTAATAGGTACAGAAATAGAGAAATAGTAGGTACAAAAATGATCCCTTGCTATGTCTCCATGTTCTTATGAACATTTGTTCTTATGAACAAATTATCCCTTGCTATGTCTCCATACAAAGCTCTGTTTCTCATCTGTGTATAATTAAAATCTATTTTTTTACTCGGTAGAAAAAGGGTGTAGGTAGCAGCAGACAGCAAATTTCAATATAGTGAACTTGTAATATTGTAGAAATCTGGAATTCCAGCATAAAATAAAATGGTGTATCCTGAGGTGTACAAAACCCCAATGTTTAAAATCAATGTATTCGGGAGAGTGAACATGCCAACGTTAACAAACATTTCTGCAGATGTTGAAGCCATCCCTAAAACCTGTTGGAGCAAACAATTGTGGTCATCTACATTTCTGTTCTTTTCTTTCTGGTTTTTCCCTATTATAAAAAAAAAATACTGATAAAAAAGAGGTAAATTGTGGGCTGATAAATAAAGGACTACAGCATCATTTGGATGCCCCACCAAAAACATTACAACTAAAATATATACCTTTATTCACTATCCAGGTACTTACATGTCCTTTTCCTGGATTTTCCTTTGGAACAAACAAGGAAACTATTTGTCCATATTTGGAACATTCTTCTCTTATGTCATCCACTACATCTGCAGAAAAAAAGACAACTGAAATTGAAAGTCAAAGAGCTTGTGCATTTTAACTGGACACTGAAATCCCATTTACAAAACAGCTATACTAAATACTCTAAACAATATTATTGCTGATCACCACAAGAAAGCCAAAACCAATTAATACATAAAATTACCATATTCTATATACTCCAGTAATATACAAAGCATATAAGGTGATATATGAGTCAATACCAGGCTTCGTGACCAATTTTTGTTGTTGTTGTTAGCCAGGACATAGTAAAAGTGATGCTGAGAATATGCCGAGGCTTTCCTTGCCACCGAGCAAGGGCATCCTGCCACGTTCTTCTTTTTTCCAGAATGAAAGAGAAAGATTTATAGAAGTGAAGGAAAATTGGTGTCTCTTTTTTGGATTCAGATCTTTCCCAGTAAATAATGGACACATATGGAAGAGCCAAATGTCAGGCTTGTGTGCGGTATTTATATTTTGATTAGAAGGCAAGAACATATCAATAACAGCAAGATCCAAACTGATAGCACGTGCGCTCCGTCTACGAGTATATCTGAATCCCTGCAGTCAGAAATTCTACCTAATGGTATCTAAAGGACCTGGTTGCTTGTCAGAACAACTAAAGCAGTATTGCACCACAAGCTCCATCCCTCTTATACAGGCATGCAACCTCACAAGCATATACAAGAGGTGAGACTTGTGTGGTAATGGTGTGGCGCTACTCTCGTCATTCTGCCCTACTCTGCAAATGGTGTACCACTTTCTCCAAAAGGCCTGAAGAATTGGGAAAAGTTCTAATCAAAAGCAACCTTAATACTCACATTTTATAAACCTGGAACATAAAGGATAAAAAGCCATGCCCCCACCAGCAGCCACCTATGTCTTGGAGGTCATAGGATGTTTCAGTTCTTCTTTTCCCTTCTAAGAGCTGAGAATCAAGGTGAGTGATATGATGCCAGAGAACTTCCGTCTCTCAAGAAGCCTTTGAAACTGATGGCACCTTTACACGAGAGCTCTGCATCCCTTTAAAACCAGCTGTAGACCTGTACAATTGTATAATGTTGGCTAGTTCTGAGAGGTAAAGGTAGGTAAAGGTAAAGGAAGTCAAGATCAACTCTTGGTGACCAGGAGCATTGTTCTCTTGGCAACAACATGGAGAAGATTTTACTGCTGCCTTCTTCCAGGATGTTTTTAAATGTCACGGTCTAGCCTTCAAAGAGTTCCTGGTCATCTCACATCCAAACACTAACCTGGTCTGACCCTGCTTCACTTTTTAGAGCTGAGTCCTTTTTTCCCCTAGCATTGCTGTGGTTTATTTGAGTCAAGTCATGTTTATTTTGCTTGCTGTGGTTTTGCTGAATATATAGGCAGCCTGCTTTCCCACCAGCTGGAATTTTTGCCATCTATGGGACTTAAGGCAACTATTACTTACTCTCTAGTCCATCTCTACAGAGCAAATCAGTTTATTACTTTTGGACCTGTAACTGTGTTCCTGAAAGTAATCAAACCCATTCTATCTACAGTGATTCTCGAACTTGGAAACTGGCCCAAAGAGCATTTTTCATGGCAGCATTTGTGCACATCTTTTTGTCACCTAATATATAATTCATGGCTAGCTGCTTTTAAAATGCTAATTCCAAAACACAGTCTATTAAATGACTGTGTACTTATCTCCTAGTAATGGTTCTAACTCTCCAAGTAACCATCTGACGGACTTTCTACATATCCAATTATAGGAAATGAGTCTGCCAGTCCGTACAGATAAGAAGTAGCTGGGTGGAGTGGGTGGAAACAATATAGCGGTCAGTACTGGTTTCCCTCCACTTTGTCCCCCGAGCGACCTGCTAATGTTTTGAATGCTGGCGCAACTAAAATACAACATTATTATAGATATTTGCTGATCTGCCTCAGTCAGCAAGATCCTTTAGGCAAATTCTGCTTATACATTTTGTGTACTGTCTTAGCTTTGGATAGAGCGGTGTATCCAAACTTGTTGCTTATTAGTTGGAACTGACAAGCTACAACTACAAAAACTCAAATAATACAACCTATATTTCCCTCAGCTGACATAAAACCCACTATCAGTATGGTAATTTTTGGATCCTTGGATTATAAGTAATATGGATATTTATATTTTTACTGTTTTTAATATTTGATTTTAACTGTGAGCCACCCAGTCACTCTCTGGGGGAGATGGGCAGCATTTAAATTTAATAAATAAAATAAAATAAATAAATAACTAAAAAGGGTTACCAAAATAATCAGATAGTTTGACAATTTCCCTTCAGAGAAAGGTTACAATATTTAGGACTATTTAGTTTAGGAAAAAAGATGAATAAGGGTGCAGCAGAGGAATACAGAACTGTGAATGGCATGGAAAAAATTAATAAAATGGCTCAGGGGTGTTTTACAAAATCATTGGGGCTATTTAATGAAACTAGCAGAAGATTCAGAACAAGGAAAAGGAACCATTTCTTCATTCATTACATGGTTAATGAGAATTTACTGCAGAATTTACTGTCATAAGAAGTGAGTACGATTATCAATTTAGACAGCTTTAACCAAATTCATGAAAGATAGCATGCCACACGTCATGCAGGTTCTATGCTGCCTTCAGTGTCAGATGAAATATGCTTCTCAGTACCAGTTACATTGGAACAATAGTGGGAGAGTGGTTGTCCTGGTGGAGTCTCCCATAACCTTACTCAGGAGTTAATGGGTTACCACAGAAGCATTCAACACCTAGGAAGATCTGGAATTCTGAGCCGAGCCAATTATGGAGAAGTACATTAGGAGATGGGGTTGCCACAAAGCGGTTTAATTTCCATGTGGTTAAAAGGCTCAGTGTTTGCAGAAGAGGGGAAGGTATGAGAATCCAGAATAAGATATAGCTGACTTTAGCATCAAGCTGCTTCCATGTCCTTCACAGTGGAAGAATTTATGTCCTAGCAATTTCCTTTGGGTGCTAGCTACAAAGTTCAAAAACACTGGGATTGTAGTTTAGCTATTGCTGCTCTTCCTAACAATGTGCAAATGTAAGTGTTGACACCAGTATTTCTGTTCGGTATGTTAACCCCTTGTTCCAGGAGTTCCAGGAAGAAGATCAGTTAAAGTCTTTCTAGGCAGTGGAACTTCCTTGTGTTCCCATCACAGGCAGACTCCTGGTACAAGTGAGTCATATTCCCTCAACAAGAATGTTGAACTTCATGAGCCCTCAATCTAGTTCAGCAGGTTCTTTATATACTTAAGCAACAAAACCTCACAGGAATGCCTTATCATTCTCCTGTTTGCTGACTGGCCTTTGTAAGCGTTCATCAAACCAATTTCACAAGATGATACAAATTATGTAAATTTAGGTTTAACAGGCTTTGGTATAATTGACAGCTACTCCCTGATTGATCCATTAATTTAACGTTTTATTGTATTTCCCTCCCACTAACTCTTTCTTGCAACTGCTCATAAAGGTATTCATAAATTACTCCACATCAACTTGGAAAACAGTGTAAAGTGGAATGACAAAGACCTTGGTCCTGGACCCTGTGCTGTATATAATTATTAGGGATCTGGACAAAAGACTTGGGATAATTACCAAATTTGCAGGTGAAACAAAACAAGGCTGGCTAACACTTTAAAAGAGAAAGAGAAAATTCAAGTTTAATAATGTGATGTAGCTGCTAAAAAGACAAATTCTATTAACAAGAGCACAGAGTCCAAATCATGGAAAATGATTGAGCCACTCTATTCTGCCTTGATTAGGTCCCACTTGAACTACTGTGTCCAGTTTTGGGCAGATTAATCTTAAAAGGACATTGGGAAGCAACAGTGGATCCTGCACTGAAGAGGGGATTGGACTAAATGACCCCTAAGGTCACTCCCAACTCTATGGTCCTTTGATCCTTAGGCAAACTGAAGTTCAGAGTAGGGCTACCAAGATGATGAAGGTGTCTAAACAGAGGCTGGATAACCATCTATCTGAAATTCTTTAGAACAGTATTTCTCAACCTTGGCAACTATAAGATGTGTGGACTTCAAGTTGAAACACTGCTTTAGAAGATCCTACACTGAGCAGAGGGCTGATGACCTCTAAGGTTCCTTCCAACTATGATTCCTTCATTGTTCATACTTTAGCAAAGTGGTTGGCATATCTACTTGATGATTTAATTTTAACTAAAGACATAAACTTAGGAAGCTGTCCTGCAATTAATTCATCTAGCCTGTAATTATATCGCATGGACGCTATCCTAGCCTTTCAGGCAGAAACCTTTGGAGATACTATCCAGGGGCTTTTATTTTCTTTCCTTCTGTGTGGAGTGGGAGTGAGCTACTGCAGCATCTGTAGGACAGGGCTGACATTTTCAGTCATTGTTGTTAGCATTTCTGACTAAAAATGATCACAGGATTAGGAATTGGAAACAAAGGCAGTGTGGAAGTGCTCTCGGGATATTGCCAGGAGATATCTGCCCAACCCAGCCACTCTAAATAACATGCACATTCTCCCATGCTTCTCCCCTTGGTCTGAGTTATTTCTGTCCAGAATATTCCTATCTGGGGACAGGAAAACCTTGGAATATTCATTTTTTTTCTTATTGCTAATTCCATTCTCACATTAGACTATTCTGCTGGCTACTTTTAAATAAGGAGCTGTTTGAAAAAGAATAGTATACAAACCTTCAAATTCTTCTTCGTTTTGAAGAGAAGTATCACTCAAAATATTTAGCAATCTTAGTACTGGAGTGGGAAGCATCACCAAATCTTCAATATGGGGAGCTGTTTAAATAGCACATAGTTAAATGACAAGATAATCATTAAAAGAAATTAGCAAGCACTGCTAGAGGTTTCAGCCTGAATCTTTAGGGTATTCTCTTATTATTGCTTTTTTAACCATGTATTTTTTCATTGTAAAAAATCCTGCTACACTCTGGATCAGGTACTGAGGATTAAAAAAGAGTGAGATGTCATCAAGTCTTAAGGAGTATTTGTTCCCAAGGAACTGCACTGTTATTTTTTTATACTATTGCTGCTCAATGGGCACACAACCTTCAATATGTTCTAGGCACTCAAAATACATTTTGAATGCCTAGAACATAATAAAGAACATAATATAGTCAGAAAACGGAGTTGTAACTGAGGGAAAAGCAGGCAGATTCTGAAAAACCTCTAAACGCATCCTGTAAAGTGAAATACTGTGCATATTTTTAATACTGCCATGCCACTGTGCCAAATTTGAAAAGTGCATATCACTTTAAAGCTGCACTTACTGGAAATGTGTGGAAAAAATAAATGGCACGAAAATAAACCCTTAAGAATACATTAAGGCTACCTCTTTGGTTCAAAGAAGTGTTTTTAATTGTTCATTGTTAGTCAGGTTGCCCTAATGAAAAGTGTGTTGGATGATATAACAAATAATCAAGGCTAATTCAGCAATCATTCCTAGGAGTTTTAGAAAGATGGCAAAGTGGTTATGACTTACCAAAAGGAATGCTGAAGAAAGGACTACACAAGGCCTTTGCAGCAGTAGCTCTTTTTTCTTGGTCATCATGAAGCATGCTGGAAAACCAAAGCGTTTTATTTTCCAATGATGTTTACAACAATACCTCAAAATATTAAAGAAAAGATTTTAAAAATCCCAGCTCTACACCAGGCCAGATATTAGTCTTTAATGGACAGATGATAAAAACTAAATTTCTATCAATCTACCTTTACAGTTGGACGTTCTCCAGAAATGGAGGCTTTTCCTGTTTTGACTGAATTGTGCTGCCTTGCATGGAAATTCACAAATGGAATAAATGTCTCTTTTGCAGGAGTGCTTTTTCACGCGATGAACACCAATGTTGGATAGCCTGATACCAACAGAGCTATATGTAAGTTTTTCCCAAGTTTGATAAGGGCTACTGAAACAACCAGGTGTTTGTCCATCACAGGACAAACATCCTCCATGTTTTTTGGTGGGTCCCTAGGGCCATATGGGGGAAAGGAAGAAGAGTCCATGGGAGCAGGCTGCTGTGGCAGTCATCATCTGTCTTCTTCCTCTCTCCAGGGAACCTTCCCATGGAGGAAGTAGTTGTAAGAGCTAGATAAGTGGGGAAGGATAGTCCAACTGAGCAAGGTTCTATGGCTGCTGCTAGCTCTATAGTGTCCTTTTAAAGATATGGTGACCAGAATTGTACACCAACTATAGTTAAGCTTAGATTTGTATAAGGGCATCGCAATATTGGCAAATTTATTTTCTATTCCTTTCCTAGTGATCCATCATACTGCATGCACTTACTCTACCGTTGCCACATGCTGGGTCAACATTTCAACTGATAGTTATAACTCCAAGATTTCTTCCCCAGCCAGTCATCACCAGTTTGGATCCTACCTTTCTGTGACTTTGAGAGCTTTTCCTCTCATGAACTATTCTGGTTAAACTTGTGTGCCGAACATCATTCTGGTGGATATAATTTAATGTTTAGGTTCTGTCAATGTCATTTTGTATTGTGATTTTGCATTGGCTAAAGTCATAGCTGATCCTCCCACTTGATGTTATCTGCAAATTTGATAAGCATTTCTTCTACTCCATCCTCTATGTAATTTATGAAGATTTTGGATAGCATTTGCCAAGGATGAAGCCCTGGGATCATTTGATACTTCCCTCCAGGATGATGAAGAAATTTTTCAGCACCCTTTGGAGGTGGTTATACAAGCAGTTGCAAATGCATTTAATGCAGCACTGAGTATCCCATATTTAACTATCTTGGCCATAAAGATAACAAGACAGACCTTGCCAAATGCTTTACAGAGATTAAGGCATAACTACATCAATAACATTCCCTAAGCCTACCAAATTAATCACTCTGTCATCAAAAGATATAAAATTACTCTAGTATATCTTGTTCCTTACAAACCCATGCTGGCCCATGGCAATAGTAGCATTTGTTTCTAAATGCTCACAGGCGTGCTGCCTGATATTTCTTTCTAGTACCTTGCCCAGTACAAAAGTTAAATTCATTGAACTCTAATTTCCTAGGTCCTCTTTCTTTCCCTTTTCTGAATATTAGGACTTTGTGTGTTCCTGTCTGGTCTTACAGAACCTCACTAGGTAGGTCTTGTTTATGTGTGTTAATTTATTAGCATAATAAATCCTGCGTTGATGTACACACAATGGCGACAGGAGATATCTCTATTTACTGATCTCTGTGCTGCCACACACTGAGGATTTTCCACTACTCCTTTCTAACCTATGCCACTTCCATATTGCTGTACCAGTTTTCTAATGGTGGGCATTAGTATGATAAATACTAATGCCCACCATTAGAAAACTGGTACAGCAATATGTCCTGAATGTACCATATTCAACTGCCCAATTCATCACTACTGCATCAGATCTTTTCCCTTGTTGTTAAATTATAACCCCAAAATGCGGAACGTGTCCATTTATGAAGAGCTCTGGTTATATTTTGCCTGGAGAGTTGCAAAATAAAGTGATTTTATATTTCTGGAAGGACACTTGTATACCAGATTTTAAAGACTGACTTAACAAAGTATGTCATTTATTAGTCTTTGAACTGGCTCTTTATTGGTGGAAAGGAAATTCTTGACAATCAATTCCATACCGTTGTGCATGCTTTAGTCATCTTTCATATGGATAACTACAATGTGCTCCACATGGGGCTGCTCTTGAAGAGTACTCAGAAGCTTCAGCTGATTCAAAATGCAGCCATGTGAGCAGTTATGTGTGCTCCATGATCTGTGCATGTTACACCTCTGCTCCACAAGCTCCACTGACTGTCAGTTTGCCTCTGAGTTCACTTCAAAGTGCTGGTAATGACCTATAAAGCCCTACATGGCATGGGACTGGGTTACCTGAGGGACCCCTCTCCCCAATTACATCTACCCATCCCATCAGGTCTAGCAGGAGGGGCATGTTGGGGGTCCCATCAGCCAGTGAGTGTCGTCTGCCAGGACCCAGGAAGAGAACCTTTTCTGCCATAGCACCTGCCCTGTGGAACATCATCCCTCTGGAGATCAGATCAGCCCCGACTTTGTTGGCTTTTCGCAAGGCCCCGAAGACATGGTTTTGCCAAGGGGCATGGGGACCCGTGAGTATGTTTGAGCTGGTGCAGTGGCTGTACTGATTTGATGAGTAGGATCACCTCAGCTGTGAGTTTTATGTATTTTATTATGGTTTTTATATGCTTTTATAGTGTTTTTTCTTGTTTTTAAATGGTTGTATTGTTCTTTTTAGCTGTTTTTATATTTGTTTTAATTGTTTGTAAGCCACCCAGAGTCAAATATATGTGATGGGCGGCTATATAAATTTGAATAATAAATAAATAATACTAAATTATACTTGCAATCTATTTAAAGCTGTAATCCTAAAATCTTCAGTTAAAAGGCCACTGTATTGTGCTATATGAGATTTCTCACTTAACTTCTAGAAATTAAACCCAGCCATTTGTTAAAATGATACAAGCATTGCCATTATGATTAAATAGGCACTGATAGTTCAATTTTCAAAATTTTGTCCCATGAGACTTTGATTCTTCCAAAATCAGTGTATTAGACATAAAACCACTTTGAGATGAAGATGCAGCCCCATTTTGGCACAAGATTATCCCCTTGGTGATAAAATGATGGGCAACTTCTATTTCAAGAACTGAAACTGACAGGCATTAAAAAAGCAAAACAAAACAAGTAACCTTAAGCAGAAAGTTGTGAATCAGTTAATATTTGCTGCTGTCTTAAAATCCTTTGGGAGGTAGCTGGATGGCTTGACGTAACAGTCTCAACTCTACGAACTGCTGTCTCAGTTTTATTCCTAACACCAAGTATATCCCCAATTGTAACTTTAAACTAGTAGGGCATTAGCTTTTTTAAACTAAGCCATCAGAAGATTTAAAGAAGGCAAAGCTGAACTGCTACCTGAATGTAAACACAGCATGTATTATTCTTAAACTGGCCAGTTTGTACATGTTGGATTCTACTATGGCCTTGGCAGTGTCACTAACTTAAACCATGGAATTTACTGAAGCAGTCAGAAACAGCTAGCCCACCTAGCCTCTCTGAAATCATACTACGGAAACAATTAACCACAATGGATTCACTCTATGGATTCACAATGTTATTATAAAATGCCCTGTATATAAACCAACTATAGCAGATAATGGTCCAAGCTATTATTTAGATTGACAATTCCAGATTGACAATTCCACATCCTTGGCCAATAATTTATTGTGTGGACATGCTGTATTTCTGGAACAGATCTAGAGCTAAGGGCACAACCTTTTAGAAGAGGAGACCACTTTCCCTTCTTGTGTTGTCTTTCAAATAGGGACAGCATACCTTTTGAGGAGGTCTCTGAGGTGATAGGCTGGGATGGCAGAATTTACCACACTTTTGCTGGCAAAAATGTGATCAATAATGGCAGAATTATTTGCCTAGAAAGGGGGCGGGGGAGGGAAGAAGAAAAAACACTCAGAAAAAACAACAATCAAACCAAACAGGAATTAATTGGACTGCAGCAGAGCTGGCTGCTATCCTATTCCCCCAGCCTTCAAAATTAGGATAATATTTAAAAAAATCCTATTGTGGTAAATAATAACCAAGCACACTGGATATTTTTTCCATTCCTACAATTAGCCCATGTAATAGCTGCTCAGTCTCCATTCTCTTCAGCAAATACACTGTGCTTTTCTAGTGATGAAGCCTCCAGTTGAGTCACAGTCAAGGCACATAGCACAGTATTCTGAACTCTTGTTTCAGAAAAATAATAGGTTTAGTTTTCTACTTAATTTGTTAGAACAAATTAGCTAGTTGTTGGGTTGAGGTGAAGTCTTCTTCTCCTTTCTGAAGTAAGTGTATAACTTAGCTCTCACTAACATCTGGCACTATCTGCGTTGCAGATACCAAGTGCCAGTTGATCTACCTTGAGTGATTTGATGGCCTTCCAATGTATCCTGGTCCAATGACTGGTTGAGCACAGTAATACTGTTGCCTTCTTCTGAAGGAAAGCAACTGACAGACCAAATGAGAGGCTGCTGTCAACAAGCTGGAAAATTTCAAAAGCTAATTGTGTAAGAGGTCTTGGATCAAAAGCTTTACCATAGGCAGGCAAACTTGCTATGGGCAGAGGCACACTTCTTACATTGTTGCTGCTGCTGCTGCTGTTATTATTACTACTACTACTATTTTACCTAACAAAGGGAACTGTAGGCCAGGTGGTGATGCTCTGACATCACTAGAGGGAGCAGTTAGGATTTCAAACCATTTTCCCCAACTTTTTCAGATTTTCAGCAATTTTTTATATGTACATACTACCTCTCAGAGGTTTCATATCCCTTTTTAGTTTCATTTCCAACAAAAATTGTATCAGTTTGTTGTCAAATTTCAGTGGCACAAATCTGGGGGGCTTCAACTGATTGAGTGATTGATTGATTGATTATGTGCCATTAAGTTGACTGCAAAAACAAGATTTAATTGTTTTACAGCAAAACATCTTCTCTGCCCGCCAATGATCCATACAGAATTCCCCTCACCTAGAGGTAAGATTGAGAAAGATCCCTGTTTGAAATCTTACCATGCTACTATCATGTAGGACAAGTCTGAACTGGAGACTGTAGGACAATCTAGTCTCATAAAAAGCAGCATCTTACATTCCTATGATGCAATTTAATCTCATTTATAGTTTTATTCCCAATCTAAAATGTTGTTTAGTATTGGCTTCCACCCAGAAAACCAAAAAATTTACCATTTAATCTGCCCAACAAGCCAAATTCAAGCCATACAAGGCATTGCCGTTCCTTATAAAAGAGATCTGAACGTTCCTGAAGGTCAGTTGCTACATAAATGGAGATTTTTGGCAGACTGAATCTTCAAAAATGAACTGATTTCTCTGCAAAGTACTCACTCTCCATTCCTGAGATTGGACAATATGTTTCAATTTCATTCCTGAGAACATCTCCAGTAATACTATTCCAAGACTCCAAAGATCAACAGCAGAAGTACATTCAGTTCCACCCTGTACTCCAGCCTTGGATAGATAGTTCTGTAGCTCAGCCTCAGGCGCTCGGTACCCATCAGTTTGGATGTATTTCACATCCTAGGAAAGATCAAGAACTTTTTAGAAGTATAAATTCACCCCAAGATGATACAGAAATAAATGGCTGGTTTTTGGTGTTGCCAACAGTTTCTCAAGAACACCTTTAGAGTCTTCTGAACCAAACTCTAGCCACTGTACAGAATTTCTATGCTGTCATTCAACTCTATTTTAATTATGTATATTATATATTATGCAATAAAGAAAATTGTAATATTTCAAGATGGTCTGTTTAAACTGGAAAAGCATCATGGCATGGAATTTCAGTGGTAATTTAGGGGAATCAAGTGGGTTTTCTACTGAAATATGACTGAAAAAATTAACATGAAAATTTTGGTAAGGAAGCAGAAACTAAGACTCTCAGCCCAAAAGGTACAGGTTTATATGCTGGCTGACAGAAAATGGACTTATCAGAACCGATAATCCATTTCCTTGAAGTAAGGGATGGACTGCAAACAGATATATTAGGGGTGATGGTAGGTATTGTTACTTGCTGCAGCTGCTCACACTCAGTCTTTCATATCCTAGATTTTTATAATTATGATTTATAATGAAAGGCAAGAGCCAACATGTACATCACAAATTTCATGTTTAACTTCAGCCTAACAGCCTTAACACAGTGGCTAGTAAACCAGCAAATCAGGTTTATTTTACCAGCCATGAAATTGCTAGATATCTTAAATCAGGTCACAACCTTAAGTCTTCATTTATCAAACCCAATTATCTATAGCATAACTTGTAGATATTGATTGAGGGTGATCAAGAATAACTTCAGAATATTTTGGTCCTTTAAAGCTAGCAGAAACCTTAGTATCCAGCATAATCAAAACAGATGAAAGCTGCGTCTTGACTGTTCCTTTTTTTCATAAAGGATTCAGAATACATTTTAGTAAAAGTATGCATGAGCACACCTCCACACAAAAAGCTTACAGAGTTTTTCCTTCAAATAGCTTCAGGGGTACATACAAAAGCTTTTTGTAGAGTTGGAGACAATGCCTTGAGAAAGTGACTTTCATTTTCATTTCAGTCTAGCAGTTTTGGCAGGCTTAAAAAAACAGAAGATTGCAGAAAGAGATGAGTATACATCCCACAAGCAATAATCTTGCTTCCAACTTTTTGAAAAGTTGGAAAAAGACTGGTTTCTGGAGAAACTATGGCAAACATAAAGGTATCAGGCTACAGTTACATTTAAATGTCAGGGATCTCTTACAACACTTAGCTTCACTTTTTGCAGTAATTCTATTTCTCTGATGATTTTCTCGGGTCATCTGACCAACCTGATTCCCCTCCTTGAAGCTGAGGCCAAAATCAATGAGCTTGAAGCACTCTTCCTCTGCACTCCACAGAATGTTGCGTGGTTTCAGGTCTGCATGAACATAACGTTTATGGTGGAGGTACGTCAGGGCTTCCAGGACGTCCCGTGCACAGTGCTGAGTGATCCACATAGAACAGCCATGCTGACTAGAATGCACAAGCAACTCTGAGACACTGATATCCAGCAACTCTAGTAAAAGGCAATACGATGGGCCTTTGGCAGAAGTACAGTTGGTGAACACACTGTATAAGGTTACTGCGAACAAAAAATCCAAAAATATTGGTAGGAATTATATAAAGAAGAACCACCAGTTTGAAGCAATTCTCTAGTACTGAAGCAGTTCCCAAAAGAAGTTTTATTTAGAAATACAGGTTATAGTTGTTTCAAGCACTTTTTCTAAACCTTATGACCTTAGTTAACTGTCTCTCTCAGTGCTGGAGCAATGTCCTCCTCTAACTTTGACCTGAAATCTACCCCACTTCCCGAACACTGACTTTAAAAACTGATGAAATGAAAATAAGAACAAAACAAATCCTAATGTTGCTTACTCTGAATCTGGCAACCTGCATTATCTTCAGAGCCAAAATGCTGTCTACCCTTGATTTTTTACTATCCCAATCATCATGCTATATGGCCTCTAAGACATTTGTTCCTGTAGTAGATGGCACCAATAATACTGAGCTAGTAAGTCTCACAATCTGCCAAATTACCAGCACAAGACACATAAAGATGCTACATGCCTTGCATTGAATCAGAGCTCCATAGCAATCCTCTAATTATTAATTCCACAAATAAATGCTAAAGGGGAAAACTCTGGTTAGTTCTGTATTTGCGGAAGGTTTAACTATCTTCAGTAGCATTGAGGAATAGTTCTGTTAAATGATAGAGGGTATCCTTGCTTAGATCTCACTATAGATGATTGGTGGAAAATATATGCCCAGAAAGATAATGAGACAACAGTAACTGTATACTGAAGACCAAGAACGAATTGGAGGGGGTTTTAAGATTAAGGGACAGTGCTATTCTCAGTGCTGCCCAATTAGGCCACAGCATACAGCCACATGTGCTCTCAGTTTCATGTATCTTCATTGCAACAACAGTCTCATTCTTTCATTTTAGTAGATGCTCATCAATGGATAGTTATGTGATCACCAGAGTATCACTTTGCTGTGTGCTCTTATAAATGGGGCTACAAACTTATCAAGGGACAGAGATGAACCCTCCACCATATGATGCTTACCATTTCAAATATTTCTTACATATCCTATAACAGTCATGATTTATTCTCCAACAAAGTGGTCTGAGTGGACATCTGGTCAATAGCAGCTAAATGGCTGTAAGTTTTCTATAAGCACTGCAGACATTTAAACATGCCCATGCACATACTGTCCACAAATAGTTATAACACACTGGATAATCCTGGTTCATATTATAAAGTGCAATCTGAAGAGATGAGCAATTGCTAAGGTGGTCCAGGAAGTGCTCTACATCTCACAGTGCGAAACAGGGCAGAAAGGGTACTTTCAAATGGAAAGATCTTAGCTACAAATCAAAAAGCACTGTACACATAGTTTACGTTGTCAAACATACCACTGTAGGTAAAATGTCATTAAAGACAGGACAATTACTTCATAAAAGCCTCATCTGAATGCACCCTAAACTGCCCTATTTCGGACCTCAAGGTCTTTTTGTCAGCGCTAAGGACCGAGTTGCATTGTCTTCAGGGGGAAAATGGAGCCATTTACGCTTCACAAAAAAGCGGAGGACTTCCTTCTCTGCCACCAGCAGACAGCTCTAGAATTTAGCAGCTGATTCTACCCAGGGCAGCCCCTGCAATTCGCGGGGTCAGTCCACAGGCGACCTCAGCGGGACCAAGTTACTCGGAAAGAACCCCACGACACTCTGCATATGTCCCGAAGCTCTTCTCCCCTTCTACGCCTTGCAAGCAAGCCCGCACAGCCATGAAGCCCATGCCCTTCCTCCACTCGCTCGCTCCCGCCAGTCCCGGCCGGACCCAGCACTCCGCCAGCCTCCCTCGCCGCTTCTCACCGATGTTGCGGTGGCCCCGCAGCTCCTCCAGCGCGGCGCGCTCCTTGCTGAAGACGCGATCGCCGCCGCCGCCGAGGGCCAGCAGCCCGGGCCCCGTTGAGAGAAACTCCTTGATGGCCGCCAGCGGGGCGCAGGGGTCGCCGAGGCAGCGCGCCTGGAAGACTGCGGCCGAGGCC